AATGAAGCAAGCATTTATGGCAATCCAGCAACTGCACCTGGTGCTTTGGCTCCTGCAATGTTACAAGGTGGTAATCAACCTTTAAATGTTACACCACCATATTTAGTGATGAATTGGTGTATAGCTTGGCAAGGAATTTATCCTTCTAGACCATAATGTTCCTTTATCTAATTTTAACCACAATAATTAATTAATCATCTAAAAAAATAAAAAATGGATCCAATAATTGGTCAAATCATGATTTTCGCTGGCACTTTTGCACCTAGAGGATGGGCACTTTGTCAAGGTCAGTTAATGTCTATTGCACAAAATAATGCATTATTTGCAGTCCTAGGTACAACATATGGTGGCGATGGAATTTCAACATTTGCTTTACCTGATATGCAAGGTAGATCAAGTCTTAGTGCAGGTCAAGGTGGTGGTCTTCGTGCATATGCTTTGGGCGAAAAGGCTGGTACAAATTCTGTTTCTGTTGCAGTTGCAAATTTACCATCCGCACCAGTAATGCTCAAATGTTCAAATGCACCTGGAACAACATTCGAACCATCAGGACATGTACCAGCAAGTGCTGAAAATGCAAATGAAGCAAGTATTTATGGTAATCCTGCAACTTCACCTGGTGCCATGGCACCTGCAATGTTGCAAGGTGGTAACCAACCTTTAAATGTCACACCTCCATACTTAGTGATGAATTGGTGTATTGCCACAGAAGGAATATTCCCTTCAAGACCTTAAGTAAACATTGATATATTTAAAATGAACAAGAAGATTATGTAAAGCTTCTTGTTCATTTATAACTTTTAAAAAACACTACGTTCAATAAAACAGTGAACGCATTAATTTTTTAAACCTTTTAAATTTAGACAACCATGAAATATTTTAATTCTATCATCTTTATAGTATTCGCTACATTACCAAGTACTTTGTTTTGTCAATATTTTGAAGATTTTAATGTAGCGGAGAGAGGTGCATTAACAGTTACGCCATTTACTACTAACTTGACGGGTGTTAATTGGTCGGTAGCTTTGGGAACATTTGTTGGTGTGGTTTCAGGAACTCCAGATTATGCAAAAACTGTATCAGGAGCGCTAGAGTATCGCAATACTGATAAAGAAGTTTGTTTTACGACACCCGTCTTAGATATATCTACGCCAGCTGGACCAAGATCGTTTGCCATACCTTTTGAAGCTTTAGGATTTGATGATACAGATTTTATCCAAGTGGATTATCAAGTAAACGGCGGAACATGGGTAGCTTTACCCCATGTGGATGCAGATGCGATAAAAAATAGAAGTATGATCACTATTGGTGGTTAAATTCAAGTCTAATGAGTAAAAACATGATCCCATACCAAGAAGCTATAGATATTATTTGTCAGCGCACTCAGGCATTAACACCCAGCATTAAGCCCATTTCAGATACACTTGGACTTGTTCTTGCAGAAGATATATATTCGCCTATTGATATACCAGGATTTGATCAGTCTGCCATGGATGGATATGCTTTATGTCTAGGAAATGAGGCTGTAAAACCATCATATATTATTGGTGGTGAAGTTGCTGCGGGAGACGCTCCTGGTGATGTAATTGATACTAATATTGCCGTTAGAATATTCACCGGTGCTGCTGTGCCTAAGGGATTTGACACGGTTGTCATGCAAGAAAAGACCATGCTAGAAGATGGAAATCTTATCATAACTGACGATCATATAACATCAGGTCAAAATGTGCGTTTGCAAGGTGCTGAGATAAAATATGGAACATTAGCATTACCGAAAGGCAGCTTTCTGACACCTGCAAGTATAGGGTATTTAGCTGGTATGGGCATCCGTGAAGTATCTGTTTTTCCCAAACCAAAAGTAGCACTGATCATCACAGGGAATGAACTTAAACAACCTGGTGAACCGTTGGATGTTGGGCAAGTTTATGATGCAAATTCTTACACGCTCTCAGCTGCTTTACATCAAAAGGGGATATCGGATATTCAAGTAATTTGGGTCCGAGATGATCTTGACAGCCTTACAGAAGTGCTTAAAGTTGCAATAGAAAGCAGTGATTTGGTCTTATTGACGGGAGGGATTAGCGTAGGGAAATACGATTACGTCCTAGAAGCGACACAAAAAAATGAGGTGGATGTACAGTTTTATAAAGTCAAACAACGACCTGGAAAACCTATTTATTTTGGTACAAAAAACAAGACTTTGATCTTCGGGTTGCCTGGTAATCCTGCTTCTGTTTTGACTTGTTTTTATGTCTATGTTTCTTTGGTCATTGACTTACTTTCTAATCGTCAAAAAGATAATTGGACAAAGGCAACCTTAAGGGATGATTACGAAAAAAATAGTGGACTTACCCATTTTTTGAAAGGACATCATGCTGGTGGACGAGTAAAGTTTTTGGGTGGTCAAGAGTCTTTCAGATTGAGTTCGTTTGCTGAAGCCAATTGTCTTATTCGTATCGATGAATCAACGACAATTTTGGCAGCTGGATCAGAAGTTGATATTTTACTTATACCATCTTAAAAAGAAACTATGGAGGAGTTGATTTTTTATGGTTTATTATTTGTGGTGGCGTTACTTTATGCGTCTGTAGGTCATGGTGGTGCGAGTGGATATTTGGCATTGATGGCCATTTTTGGTTTGAGTGTAGATACGATGAAGTCTTCTGCTTTGATATTAAATTTGTTTGTTTCGCTTGTAGCATTTATACAGTTTTACAAAGGTGGTCATTTTCAATTTAAGTCATTTTTGCCGTTTGCATTAGCTTCTGTGCCATTGTCTTTTGTCGGTGGATTGGTCCATATTGATAGTCATATTTACAAGATATTATTGGGTGTTTTTTTGATGTTTGCGGTAATCAGGATGTTGTTTTTTGACAATTTAGAGAACAATAAAAATCCTTCGCCTTCGGTGGCGGTATCTTTATTGATAGGTGGAAGCATCGGTTTTTTATCAGGACTTTTGGGTATCGGAGGTGGCATTATTTTATCTCCTATTTTGATATTATTGTATAGTATGAATCAAAAACAAGCCGCTGCAATCAGTGCTGTTTTTATTTTTGTAAATTCATTTGCAGGGCTAAGTGGTCAGTTGGCCAAAGGCGTAAACATTGATCCCCAAATCTATTTTTTTGTAATCATCGCGTTTGTGGGAGGTACAGTTGGTTCGTATCTAGGCGCATCAAAATTGAACCATCGTGCATTAAAATATGTCTTAAGTCTTGTATTGTCAATTGCCATTTTTAAATTATTAAATCAATAGAGTTCACTCCGAAAACACAAAATGATTTATAATCAACCGTTTTTTACCCTGACCCTAAAGGGAAACGATTGATTATCAATGCAGTAGAAGTCAATGTTTTTCATTTTAATTGAACTAAGGACTTTTCGGAATAGACTCAATCAATAGAAGAATAAGTACCAAATCAAATTATATGAGGATAAAAATATTATTATTTGGACAATTGAAGGAAAGGTTGGATGCAGATTTTATTGAGATAGAAGGTGTAATGGATAGTGATATGTTGATGGCGAAATTAAAAAGTGAGTTTCCTGTATTATCTGATATATCTTTTAGATTAGCTGTAGATAAAAATTTAGTTTCAGAAAAGGTTGTTTTAAGTGAAAAATCGGAAGTAGCTTTGTTGCCGCCTTTTTCGGGAGGATAATGTTTAAGATGAAGTCGAATTTTTGCCACGACTTGTGACGCAAAAGCGTTAAAGGCACCAAGACACTAAATATATCTAAGGGTTACATTGTTGATATTTAATCATATCTGCATCCATTGAGCCTTTGAGTCTTAGTGGCAGATTATTTTTACTTACTAATAAGTTTACAAGTCCAGTAAAAAAAGTAATGGAGCGATATCAAAGACAAATTATACTATCACAATTTGGTCAGGAAGGCCAAGCTAAGCTTGCTGATGCTAAGGTATTGGTCGTAGGAGCTGGTGGTTTGGGTTGTCCTGTTTTGATGTATCTTGCTGCTGCTGGCGTGGGGCATTTGGGTATAGTGGATCAAGATGTAGTCAGTCTTTCTAATCTCCAAAGACAGGTTTTGTACAAAACAGAAGATGTGGGATTGCCCAAGGTAGAAAGGGCTAAAGAGTATCTTTTGGAAATGAATCCGGAGGTTAAAGTCACTTCATATTTTACTTATCTGACAACACAAAATGCACCGGAAATTATCAGTGAATACGACATCATTGTAGATTCTACAGATAACTTTCCGAGCAGATATCTTCTCAATGACGCTTGTGTGATTTTGGGTAAAGTATTGGTTTATGGTGCCGTATCTAATTTTGAAGGACAAGTGGCTGTTTTTAATGCTGACATAGGTAATGATAAAAGATCATCTAATTATAGAGATATTTTTCCCAATCCACCTATGGAAAGTGAAATAGGTAATTGTGCAGAAATTGGTGTGTTGGGTGTTTTGCCTGGCACGATAGGATGTATTCAAGCCAGTGAAGTCATAAAGCTGATAACAGGAATAGGAAAACCATTAGTCAATCAATTACAGACCGTCAATCTACTTACCAATCAATGGCAAACATTTACAATCCAAGCATCTCCAGAAACTCGGTCATTGATACCTAAGGATACAATCAGTTATAAAAATAAAGATTACAGCCTTACTTGTGGCCCACTTCAAAAAATGGAGATAGATGAAGCGGATTTTCAAGCTTATTTTGATAAAGAAGATGTGGTTTTTGTAGATGTGCGAGAAGCCTTTGAAAAACCATTTATCGATTTTTTTCATTATAAAAAATATCCACTTTCTACTTGGGAAAAAGAAGTCCCAAGTTTTCAAGAAGGTACGATCATCCTTTTTTGTCAGTCAGGTAAAAGAAGTTTAGAAGCAGCTAAGATACTTTCTCAAATATATAAAGACAAAGAAATTTATAGTTTAAAGAATGGTATCTTGTCTTGGCATAATAATCAGAAAATAATCTCAAATGAGCCATCCTAAAATTAAAAATATATTCATCCAAGGGCCTATTTCGCCATCGTTTATCATGGAAAGTATTCAGAAACATAGTACCAAAACTGATATCGGTGCCCATAATATATTTCTCGGACAGATACGTGCTGATGAAAAAGATGGACATCAAGTCACAGCCATTCAATATACTGCTTATGAGGAAATGGCCCTAGAAAAGATGTCAAACATTAGAGAAGATATCTTTGCCAAATATCCGCTTACTTGTTTGCATGTTTACCATAGCCTTGGTTTGGTGCCTACGGGTGAGATATGTTTGTTTATATTTACATCAGCGGCGCATAGGAAAGAAGCCATCGATGCTTGTGAAGAATTGGTAGAAAGGATAAAAGTCGAATTGCCGATATGGGGCGAAGAAATATTTGATAACGGATCTCAAACTTGGAAAATAAATAAATAATGGTTGACATCACACACAAAAATAATACACTACGTAAAGCCATTGCATCTGCGACCGTCACGGTCTCAAAACCGGAGACGATAGACATGATCATCAACAAATCGATACCCAAAGGAGATGTATTTGAGTTTTCAAGGGTAGCAGGACTATTTGCGGTTAAAAAAACTTCTGATGTTATTCCTGATTGTCATCCGTTGCCTGTAGAATATACCAATATCAGACACCATATAGAAGGACTGACCATCAAAATAGAAGTGGAAGTCCATACCATTTACAAAACAGGTGTGGAAGTGGAAGCGATGCATGGTGCTGCTATAACTGCACTGACCCTTTATGATATGCTTAAGCCAATAGACAAAGGCATCGAGATATCATCTATCAAACTAGAGTCAAAAACTGGTGGTAAATCTGATGCAAAAATCAATAGCGAAATGCCGCTCAATTGTGCAGTGATCGTTTGCTCGGATACTATTTCTGCTGGTCAAAATGTAGATGCTTCAGGAAAATATTTGGCTGGCAAACTAGAAGAGATGGGTTGTAACATGATGCATTTTGACATCATACCGGACGAGGCCGAACTCATAAGGGCATCGGCGCAGCATTTTAGCGATGTGGGTGCGGACTTATTGATTTTTGTAGGTGGTACAGGACTATCGCCAAGAGATGTGACACCACAAGCCGTAGCACCACTGATAGAAATAGATGTACCTGGTATCATGGAGCGATTACGCAGTTATGGACAAGATAGAATGCCTTATGCTATGTTTTCTCGTGGTATTTCAGGATTTATCAAAGATACCTTGGTAATCACGTTGCCGGGTTCACAAGGAGCTGTGAAAGATGCTGTTCAGGCGCTTTTCCCACATGTGTTTCATGTGTTTAAGGTGCGTGGTGGATACCGGCATGAGTGAGGGATGAAAAGGAAATTATGCTTGACCATTTATTCTGATTGGGTGAATTATAATGTTTCCATTTTCAACAAATCTAAATTGTTAAAATAATTCTACCATGCAATTGTAAATGAATTTTTACCTTTGCGCTTCATTTCTTTAAAACATCATCAAAATTCGTCACCATGGACACTATCATAGAGCATTTGATTCAAGAAGAGTTACAACGTCAGAGACAAGGTATTGAGTTGATTGCATCAGAAAATTTTACTTCTCAAGCTGTTATCAATGCCATGGGTAGTTGTCTTACCAATAAATATGCAGAAGGATACCCTGGCAAAAGGTATTATGGTGGCTGTGAAGTCGTGGACAAGATAGAACAAATCGCCATCGATCGACTTTGTGCGCTTTTCGGTGCGGAGTATGCCAATGTACAACCACACTCAGGTGCACAAGCCAATGCCGCCATATTTTTAGGCGTACTTCAGCCAGGAGATGCCATTTTAGGTTTTGACTTATCGCATGGTGGTCACTTATCTCATGGTTCGCCAGTGAATTATTCAGGTAAGGTATACCAAGCTAATTTTTATGGTGTAGAACAAGAAACTGGACGCATAGACATGGACAAAGTAGCTGCTAAAGCGCGCGAAGTCCAACCAAAACTCATCATCTGTGGTGCATCGGCATATTCTAGAGATTGGGATTATAAAAAATTTAGGGAGATTGCTGATGAGGTAGGTGCGCTTTTATTGGCAGATATTGCACATCCTGCGGGATTGATAGCGGCAGATTTGTTGACAGATCCGTTGCCACATTGCCATATTGTATCATCTACGACCCATAAGACATTGAGAGGACCTAGAGGAGGAATCATCATGCTCGGCAAAGATTTTGCAAATCCATGGGGAAGAACGACCAAAAAAGGAGATCCGATCATGATGTCAACGATATTGAATAGTGCCGTATTTCCTGGTATGCAAGGTGGCCCATTGGAACATGTCATTGCTGCTAAGGCTATTGCTTTTGGCGAAGCATCACAAGATAGTTTCAAAGAATATGGTAAACAAGTCATTGCCAATGCAAGTGTGATGGCAAAAGCATTTACAGATCGTGGTTACCAAATCATCTCAGGTGGGACGGACAATCACATGATGCTTATCGACCTAAGAGCCAAATCAGCAGATATCTCAGGAAAAGATGCCGAAAATGCGCTCGTTAAAGCAGATATCACCATCAATAAAAACATGGTACCATTCGACAGTAGGCCAGCATTGCACACGTCCGGCATTCGTGTAGGTACGGCAGCAGTGACTTCACGTGGATTTAAGGAAGCAGATTGTGAGCAAGTAGTAGATTGGATAGACGCAGCGATTATGAATAAGGACAATGAAAGCATGCTTACTGATATTCGTCATAAGGTGAATAGTTTTATGGCTAATTTTCCGCTATATGCATAGTTAAAATTACTTTTTATGATGGCTAGGAACTTTCTTGATTCTTTCAAATACTTTTTACTATTAATGTCACTAAAATAGAAACTAATAATACTTTTATCGTTTGGAAGTAAGCTAGTTTTCTTGACTTATTCTCTTAGTATTAAATAAACAAAGTCAAAACTCTGATGTTAGACAATCCTTCTATAATTAATAATAAAAGGTAAATGACGCTTGATTTTGTACCATTCGAAGATATAGATAAAAACAAATGGAATGGCAACATACATTATTCTCCAAATGGAAATATATATGGCTATCACTGGTATCTAAAGAGTGTGATAAAAGAATGGGATGCCATCATAGAAGGTGATTATCAATCTGTGATGCCGATTCCTAGACGAACTTTGACAGCTTTTGAGCAATCGCTTCTACCTTACTTGGGTCCTTACACCGTCAATGGATATTCTGCCCAACGTGCTCAATCATTTTATATGACATGGAAAGAACATTCCAAAAATAGTTATTATGCTTTTAATGATAGATTCGGAAAACTAATAGAAGTCGAGGATGAAAAACTCATAGTAAAGCATCGACATTATATAAATCTACAGCCTTCTTATGATCAGATAACGGAAAAATATCAAACGAAGGCACATCAGCTGCTCAATGACGCTACGCTTCAGACTTTTGTTTATGGGAGCGATATAAAACCAGAGACACTGATCGAAAATGAAAACCTAAATGAGGCTGAAAAAAGCATTTTGTATAGGATCATGTACAATGCCATACAGCGTAGTGTGGGTTGGAGTTTACAAGTAATCAATAAAGAAAGTGGTGCTGTGGCAAAGGCATTTTTCATTAGTGACAAAAGCGGTATTTACGAAATATTCTCATCACGTCAGAATGATGAAACTAATCATTTACTAATGTTAGATACTTTAATAAGGAGCAATGCAGGGAAACCTATGAAACTGTATACGCATCCGAATGGTGAACGAATCAATACACTTTTGGGTGGTGAAACCCTAGAAATTATGGTTGCGGAAACGTCAAAAAAACATTTTATGGCTGGAATAAAGTCATTTTTAGGACTTAAATCATAACAAATTGATAACCTTCTGAAAGCGCTAGAAATTGGTTAGTGTCAGATAATGTCAAAAATAAATTGGTCAAATTTTGATTTTAAGTGCCCATTTGTCAAAAAAATTGCACAAAAAAAACGTTCAATTAACAAATTTACTTCATGTATTAACAAGTGTTCTTTAATGAATTAATTAACATTCAAAAAGACTATATCTATGTAATCAATTGATAATCAGATATATGCAATAATTAAATATACCAAAAAAAACTTTAAAAATGTGGATAAAAACTTTTTTCAAAAAGATACCAGCCAATGATATTTATCTATATTTACACCGTAATTTAATCCTGTACTCAGTAAACATATATGGAAAACAAAATAAAACGAGATTCGGCCCTGATAAATTTAGTGTCTGAATTTGAGTGCAAATTTGAGCAAGGAGAGGTTGGTTACGTGGACGAAAAAGTGTTCCTCCAACTTTTAGAATATTATGAAGACGAGTATTTATTTGACAAAGCATTGGAAGTTGTAGATTATGCCATTGCTCAATATAAATACAGATCGGAATTTTACATCATTAAAGCTAGACTTCTTTTGTCCAAGACGAAGGTAAAAGATTGTCTAGCATTACTCGAGATTGCTGAAAATATTGCCCCATTCGAGAGAGAAATCTCCATCATCAGAGCAAGAGCACACGCCATAAATAAAGATTTTACGGCTGCACATAGTATATTAGATGATCTAAAACTCGGAGCCACCAAGAGTGATTCTGTAGATATACTCATCGCTGAGTCTTTTATATACGAACATATGAAAGACTACAATGCCATGTATGATGCGCTTTCTAATGCTGTCCTCATTGATACCAAAAATGAAGAAGCTATGGAACGTATTTGGATCAGTGCAGAGTTATCAAGAAGGTACGAAGATAGTGTACAGTTGCACCTGACGATCATAGACAAAGATCCTTACAATTACCAAGCGTGGTATAATCTAGGGCATGGCTACAATTGTATATGGGAATACGAAAAAGCGATAGACGCGCTTGAGTATTCATTTATCATCAATCCGGAGTTTGAAAGTGGATATCTAGATTGTGCAGACACTTGTCTTCAGATCAGAAATTACGAAAAAGCCCTTGAGATTTATATCGAAGCCAACAATAAGTTTGGTCCGAATAATGAATTGATGGTCAATATCGCACATTGTTATATCTATCTCAATAGAATAGGCATCGCTAAGCAGTGGTTACTCAAAGCTATCAAACTAGATGGATATAATGACGAAGCTTACTTCTTGCTAGGTGAGTGCTATTCTCGTGATCAAGTATGGTACAATGCGATCAACGCATACCACAAGGCTATAGAACTAGAAAACAGAAGAGAAGAGTATTATCTAGGTCTTGCAAAGGCTTACCTTGCGGTAGAAGATTATAACAAAGCGACAGTCAATTTCCAAATGGCCACGCAAACAGGCCCTGAAGATACATTGTATTGGAAAGAGTATATCTGTTTCTTGATCAAAATGGGATTGCACGACGAGGCCATCCAAGTGCTAGATGAAGCAGAAGACCATACATATGGTCCTGACTTGCTTTATTGTCGTGCGGTGACGGAGTACTTCCTAAAGAACAAGGTAGATTGTCTAGAATTGCTAGAAGAAGCATTGATGGAAGATTATGATCAGCACACCTTAATTTTTGAAATCGCACCGGAGTTAAAACTCGACAAAGAGATCAACTCTATGATAAAATATTTTGCAGACTAATCTCGGTCTGAACAAGAATTTTACTCTTTTAATAACCAAGACTGAAGGGCATTTCTTTTGCAAAGAAGAGTGCCCTTTTTGCGTTTATAGGAACTGATTCAAGAAAAATAAGTTCAAAACATATTAAAATTAATAATAATGTATTAATTTTGTGTTTTCAGAATTTTATCATATAAATTTGTTCTAAGATGAAGCCAGTTGTCACAGAAGATGCCACTCAAAAACTCAGAGATTTGATCGATGCCACCGAAAAAGAATTCAACCACGAATTGAAAATCACTCCTGGTGAGGCAAAACGTATCGAGTTGATCAGAAGGATGAAGGAAGATACCGACAAAAAGGAATATATGATCATGTTTAATGGATTGATCATCGGTCTTTTATTGACAGGTCTTGTGCATTTTTTTATATACAAATCTGTCTTTACATTGATAGGTGTTGTGATAGGATTGGTCTATTATCTTTTTACAAGACAAAAACTAAAAGTTGCTACCTACCAACTTGCAGAACATAAAAACAACTTTGACAAATACCTTTGGGAAGGTTATCACCTGAAGGAAATGAGATATTCCGCGGTAAAGCTTGCTTACTTTTTATTCTTCCCGCTTGTAGCTGTGTTTTTTACAGATATCATGTCTACACGTGCGGAAGGATTGTCTATATGGTTGAGCGTGTGCATTGCTGCAGGTATCAGTGCGATAGGATGGTTTATCTTTTTTGCAGATGACAAAAACATGTTGGAGACCATTGAGTCTGATCTGAACTCATTGCAATATTTGTAAGATTATAGCGTATTCGATACGGATTATTTGAGCGTATCCCCAAATTACACCTAGTTTAAAATTCCTTTTTTAACCCTGATCTTAAAGGGGACAAAATGAATTTTAAATTAATTTTTGTGTCAAAATGAGATACATCCTATTACTTCACCGTACGACCACTAGCCTTATTGGTGCTAACTTTGGTATTATTCTTTTTGTCCAAGTCTACCATCAGGTAAGCAAATGCGCTTTCATTAGTCGTTTTATAGACTTTATCTCCATATGTGACACTGCCATATCTTCTGTCCCAATCTTTTGCAAGCAAGACATATCTGCCATTAACCTTTTCTGAAGGGCCAAATACTAGGTATTTATTATCATCGGATGCATCAAAACCTACGGCATAATGATTTTTTGTAGGAGAAAATAGGAAAGCTCCTTTTGTTCCTTTTTTGATAATGACTTCTTCTACTTCTCGACCATCTACCATCTTTATTTTACCATTCGTAATGACCGACTCTCCACGACTGATATCTCGCCACAAGATGATATCATTAGAAAGATAAAATTGAATTTTGCGTAATTCACTGTCTGACCATCGGTTGTCATCGTGGATGTCTTTGGTGTAATATTTGAGCGTAGGTGCACACGATGCCAAGGTCGCTACGATAAATGCAAAAATTATTGTCCTCATGATTATTGGTTTTATTAATACGATATCAAAAAAACGTCTTTAAAACCAGATTGTACTCAACCTTAAGAAAGTTTAACATCTACATTAACCTTTTGATAAGACAAACCTACCTTTTCTGTGCAAAAAACTCAGTCATTAGGGCAGCACATTCATCATGTTTGATTCCGTATTCAAGTTTTGTTTTGGGATGTAGGAGTTCTTTGCCATAACGCATAAAACCACGTTTTTCGTCACTAGCGCCATATACCACGCGGTCTAGCTGCGCCCATGCAAGCGCACCTGCGCACATGATACAGGGTTCGAGTGTGACATAGAGTGTGCATTCATTCAGATATTTATTTCCAAGGTACGAGCTAGCAGCCGTGATGGCCATGATCTCTGCATGTGCTGTCACGTCATTTAGAATTTGGGTTTGATTATGAGCTCGTGCTATGATCTGTTTTTGGCAAACGACTACGGCTCCTACGGGTATTTCACCGGCATCTCTTGCTTTTTCGGCTTCACGGAGTGCTTGACCCATAAAATAGTCATCAGAATAAATGGACAACATTGGACTGATTTTAAAAATGAAAGTGCAAGAAAAGGAAAATATTTATGGATGGGAATAAAAAGGATGAAATACTTATAAAAGCTTTGATTCAAAAAGAAAAAACCCTCAGAAATTACTTCCTGAGGGTTTTATAGGTGCGTGAATGGGTTTTACTTTATTTTATTTCAGTTTAATGATTTTATGGGTAACTTGTACCCTGTCATTTTGTGAAATTTTTAGGATATAAAATCCATTATTAAGTGCATGTAGATCTACAATACCATCTGCGTTTACCATACCAGATATCAATGTTCTACCAGAAGCATCAGATACTTCGTAATTGGCATCAGTTGTAAGACCTACTATTTGGATATAGTCATAGAATGGATTTGGTTGTACCTTTAGATGTGAAAGTGGATTTTCGGCTATTCCGTTTATAATTTTTAGGTCCCAAAAAAGATTTACGTTTGCAGGGTCTACATCTCCACTTTGTTTTATTTGATTTGTAACTTCTTGATTTAGATCTATAACATCACTGATGATGGTGTTTTTGTTTGAAATATAAGTGAATTTTAAGAAATCTTCATTGTTTCTTAATGCTACGCCTTGTGGAGTGACATCTAAATCTATAGCCCAAGAAATCTGTATATTATCTTCCGTAATGATAACATTCTTTGTTTTGTCAAAACCAGGTAAAACGTCAGACTCCACATCTAGGATACTAATTCCTTTATCCTTAATACTAAAATCTAGTTTCACAGCAACTAAACTTTGATTTCGATCGCTACTAAATGATGTCTGGTAAGTTTCTCCTTTATTAAGTGCAATATCATCTGCTTTTAAGACTGTAAAAACGGGTGCATTATTACCCATATCTGTATTATAGCTACCATTCACATCTCCCATTTTAATACCTATAAATTCATTACTATAAATGAGATTGTTTGTGTTAATAAAATCTCGGTATGGAGTTACTAATCCATTAACAATTTGATGGTTTTTATCTAAGAACTTCCAAACAGGTGTATTGAAAGGCCAATTGTCTATTTCTCCGTCAATCATTTTTCTTATGTAAACCAAATCAAGTGTTGTTACTCCATTGACTCCATTTATATCTGCTGCAATCATTTGATAAGGATTTAACTCTCTAATAGATAAAACACCTTCATATACCATTACGAGGTCCATTATATCCACATTATTTCTTGCATTTCCCGTTTTTGATGGGCGAATGTTATAATTTTCTACAAAATCAAATGTAGTACATCCCGATTCATTTGTGTTACCCAATCCCATATTGACATTATCTATTGGCTCTTCATAATAAGTAAATGCACAGACTTGATTTACATTATCATAATTAAGTGTAATATTTTGTACATAAGTACGAGTAACCGATGACACCCAATTATGAACATTCCATGTACGTTGTATCAACTTTGTATCATCATCGATGGTTGTTACTACATCATAATATGTTACTTCGTATGCAGATGTGCAGTCTTCTACAAGTGTAGGCTCCACATCATTAGGATGAACATCAGGGTTTGTTCTTAAAGCATTCAGAGAGATGAGAGCGTTTTCAACAATTATATCAGCAGGCCATTCGATGGCGTCCATATCAGTATGGCCAGAAGTACAATCACCAAAAGGTGTATTCCATGGTAATGTATCACATATTTCTAACCCATTATAAAAGACATTGAATATTTGAGTATATTCGTAGGTATTATTATCCAACCAATTTAAAATTGTCCATGTTCTCACTATTTTTTTATTTTGTGATGTGGGAGAACCCAAAGAAAAAACTTGGTCCGAATAAGCTATGAAAAGTACGGAACAATCGAAATCTATAATTTGTGGTCTTACATTTTCAGCTGGAACACTATGTAGGCTTTCTAACTCTTCTGGTGATAGTTGATATGCACTAACAACATCGCATACATAAATATCAAATCCACATGGCCAATCAATGTTATCTTCATTTGTATATCCTGATGCACAATTACCAGGATCTCCGTTTGGACATAAAGTGTCACAAACTACAAATGGTAAGTCACAATCTTCGATTGGTTCTACATTTATGTGGCCCCAACAAGCATTTCCAGTAATTTCATCTGTTACTTGGTAAGTAATTATTTTACCAGCGTCATCCCAATCTACTTGAGGTGAAGGGTATTCCACACCGTTGTAAGATAATTTTACATTAAAAATGGAATTACAACTGTAATTTCCCTCAAGTACCATTTGTGGAGTGATAGTTATAGAAGATGTAGGGTTGACTTCAATTGGGACCTGACCATTACATACGAGTACGCCGTTCATATTTACATTTGTAGTTGTATAACTTACTTGGGTGGTTGCACTAGCTACATTTCCTCCCATGTCAGTTACGATTAGTCTTACTGTTGTCGGGTTTGGGCTATTGCAAGTGATTTCATTTGGTATTACTTGGAGTGATTGTATCTCACAATTGTCACCATAGGAACCCACTAGCTCTGGTGTAAGAATGTATGGATTTATTGAATTTAAGATAATTGAAAAATTGCTTTCCATAACAACATAAGGAGATAAATTGTCTTGCACTTCAACTTCACAAATACATTGATTGATTACATTGTCAGTGCCGGTGGCAGATAATTTCACAAGTTGGGTTGCACCCATGTCGTCACAAGTAAGTTCATGTCTATTGATTTCTAATGTATGATATCCTGTTGAAGAATTATCCACCTGACTTGGAGTTATGTAGTACTTGCCAAAAGCATTTAATGATACACTTAAGTTTTGCTTGCATCTTGCTAAAGCATTCGCACCGCTATGTGGAATAACTGTAAAATTTGACCAACAAGTATTTTGCGTTTCTTTGTTTGTTACGGTAGCAGTGTAAACCTCAGTACTTGAACTGAATTGTATGATATTGTTAGGTATAATGTTTTCATCAGTATCTTTTATCTCTAATGTGTAGTCATTATCGACAATATTATTGATGGCAATGAAATCTGATGGCAGCATTTTAATGCTACTGTTCATCTGTAAACTGAATTGTAAGTCTTCATAACACCATATCGGCTGTGCGAAAACAGTACTCATATTTGTTATGAAAAACAAAGTGAATACTAGTAATAATGGTTTAAAATGTTTCATGATAATTTGTTGTTTGTATGCTCTTTCACAAGCACGAATGAAATAATGTAAATGAGAAGGATAACATCTATTGCGCAATTGGATGATTTCTTTATGTTTTTTTTAAAAATTTATTCGGTATCCGAGATTCATTCTGTATGATGAAATGGATGTTTTTATATTCATACTACCTTCAGATCGCTCCATGGATCTCCAGTCGTATGCTAGTCCTGTGTACAAAGCTCCAAGTCTACTTACACTCCATTCCCAAGCGATCCCACCACTGTATCCAAATCTATTGGACCTATATGGATTATTGGCGAAATCATACTTCTGAAGCTGACCATTTGATGATAAAAATCCACCTTCAGAGCCTGTCCACACTTGAAAGATAGCGCCACCATCGATAAAAAACTCATGTTTGTGGGTATTGGCCAAAAGATATCTTATAGTGATAGGTACGTCAACACTATGATAATATGAGTGCCACTTGGATTTGATATTGGAAGTTATAGTTCCATTAACTGAACCTTGTACATTACTCGCAAAACCTGATTCGTTTATGATAATTTCGGTGATACCTTGACTTGTGGTTGATGTGTAATCAGTGAATACATTCTCCAATCGTGATGTGTACCTACTGTATCTCAATCCTGGCTGTAAGTACCATCTATGGCTTAGTTTTATGTCTGTCGATGTGCCCGCTGAGAGATATTCTAATGGCTGCTCGGCATGCAGAAATTGCGGATTTTCGCCGGATGCATTATTTTGAGTTGAGTGTTGGAGTGTGAAAAATCCTGCTCCGACTTGCAAGAGAATATTATAGTTTTTCTTACTCGCTACTTTAATATTTTCTGATGGGAATCTATTTTCTCTAAAGATTTGTGTACTAATTATTGGTAAGAAATGGGCAACATCATCTGTACGATTTTCATCTTCTGCAATTAGTACATCATTTGTGATATTGGGATGTACTTGTGAAGGTGTTGGCGTAATAAAAGTCGTCTTGTTATTATTTTCAATCTCTACATTTTTTGTTTCAAATGCAATATCCGATTTTTGCGTGTTTGGTGAAATGGTATTTTCAGATAGAATATTATTAGCTTGAGTGGTTAATTTTTTATTTTGGTTAATACGAATAGGAGCTTCATTTTTAATTATATTTTCGGCTTCAATAGCATTTTTTTGATTGTTCAGAGTTTGACTTCCTTTCTGATTTAGTGGCTGTGAAACTTCATTTTTTAGATTGGTCAATTCTGGTACATTGCTACTGCTTTTTGGTAATGAGTTATTGGAAACAACTTCATTTGGTTGAGTATTTGATGCCATAAAATTTGTTTTTTGGGTGTCAAACATAAACCATAAACCAAGACTTACCAAAGCAATACCTATGGTCCAAAACCATATAAATACTGGTCTTCTGCGTTTCTTTTGTGGCACATGTGGTTCTAGTTTGTCCCACAATTGCTCAAAGTCAACTGGCGTTTCGTGTTGCTCTGCTATTTGTCTGATATATTTATCTTGTTCCATATCAATGGGTCATTTGTACTTTATACTTTAATAATAAATCTCTCACCATTTTTTTTGCCCTTGTGAGTTGGGTTCTTGAAGTGCTTTCGCCGATGTCCATCATGGCTGCTATTTCTTGATGCGAATATCCTTCTATCACATAAAGATTAAATACCAATCTGTAAGGCAAAGGCAATTCTTCTATGATCTTCACGATACCTGATTCGTCATCAAGTGTAAAGGTTTCGTTGCTATCGGTGACATCATAATCAGTGATTTCTGAATCTATCATTAACTGCTTTTTGCGCAACTCTTTGAGGCACGTTGTAGCAGCTATTCTGAAAAGCCAAGACTTAAATGAACCTTTGGCTTCGTATTGTAAAATGTTGTTAAAGATTCTGATATAACTTTCTTGAAGCATGTCTTCTGCAAAATGTCGATCACCCATGTATCGTACACAAACAGACATCAACGCAGGAGAATAGACACGGACTAGCTCCTTAAAAGCCGCCTTGTCGTACGCTTTGCATTTTTGTATGATTTCTGTTTCTGTCATTTTATAGCACTTTACGCTTCTAAAACTCCTTTTTTATCTGAAATTCTCCTTCTACATTTTTGTATCCTGCTGTCAGTGGGGACAATGTTTTGACCCAAAACCGACCTTTGAAATATCCACGTATTAAATCGTCATTTTGGAAGTCGAAATGTGTTATTTCAAAATGTTCAAATCCACAACCTTGTGTCGATGTAGGACAAAATATTTCATATCCCTGACCTTCAAACGATTTTTCGCGGAGAAGGATATTGAGTCGGTTGTCTGCTTTTTTACCTACACCATCATCAGGGACAAAAATGGTCAGTACGACATTGGACTGTTCATCCTGTAAGTCTATAGACCATCTACCATCACTAAGATTCAGAAATCACTGATTATGATGTCACCGATAGCAAACCAAGTACCTGTCTGAATGACATCTTCTACGCGCCAAGTAACCATATTTCCTTCTTCATTTCCATCTATTGTTGATGTGCTTAGAGACACTTCATCATTTTCACACACCGGCAAAAGTACATCTGTGGACGATCCTTTGGCAAAATAGTAAGTAGTTTGGTCCGTGTGATTTTTTAGAATATAGTCCATGTTTAAGTCGCCATTACAATCTTTGACCTGACCTACGATTCTAGTAAAAAGGTGGCTACTATTGTCCAATGAAGTGGTTAAATTTTCAATAGGCGCGTTTTGTGTTTTAATATTGAAGGTTTCGACCGGCCCACATGAAGCCTTTACTTCTGCATTTATTTCAGTGTCTGCAGGTAAAAAGGCAAACCATTTACCTTGTGCTGATGTGAAAACACTTTGACGACTTTGTCCATCATGTAAGTTGATTCTGATATTTGAAATAGGTGTATTTTCTAATGCCAATTGGCCACTCACATAAATACCTGGTTTACTTTTTGCCATACAGTAATAGCCAGATTTCTGATATGTAAATGATTGGTTATTATCTTCTGTCACTGGAAGCCATATTGCTTTATCATAATCGAAAGACCAAATTTTTATGCCATTTTCTTGCAGATATTCAGATGTTATGCCAAGTTTTGTTTCAAGTGGTTGGCCATTTTCAGACGTTACATCTAGAAAAAAAACATCATACATTTCAAGGTATTTGTGCTCTCCATTAATATCTTTTCCCACACGATTTGCGGGTATTGCTGTGACGTGAACATCATTATTTAAATCAGGACTGAAGTGCGTGATATTGACCTTGGAGTTGTAGCTGTTTCCATTAAGACTATATGTATTTGGTTGTGTGGTTAAAGTTGTTTTTTCATTGATAGCTATGTTCATTTTTGTATCGTGTGCAAACTCAACTTTATTTCGATTTTCGAATACCGTTAAAACGGAATAATTTATATCATTCTCAATACCTGAGATGCTGAATGTTGATGTGGCACCTGATACAGGATTAATGGTCAGTTTCTCTCCATATTTATTTACTAGTTTGCCATCAAAAACAACAAACGATTGTGCCAAATCATTCTGTTGTTGTTGATTGTATGTCGCATCAAAATTTAGTAAGGCTTCTCCATTTTCGTTTATCACACGAACTGTCTGCGTCGTAGAGATGGTGACTCTTGGTGGATCATTTTGTTCAGTGCGAATGATTTC